TGCCCTTCACTCCTGCAGAGAAAAAAACCCAACAGATCAGGAGGGTGCAAAGAAAATCTGTCTGGCAGATATGAAACTTTGTAGTCTTTGATTTCCCTCTTCAAAACCCCTGCAAGTGTTCAAGGCCAGACTGGACAGGGCTTTGAGCAAACAGGTTGAGTGGAAGTTGACCCTGTCTGTGGCAGGGGGATTGGAACTAGGTGATCTTTGGGGTCCCTTGCAACCCAAACCATTTGTTGATTCTGTGGTTCTATGCAAATACAGTGTAGACATTCCTGCCATAGATTGTATGAGCTGCTGTGCACTCTACAACATATCTAAAATAGTCTCTGTTTAGGTGGAGACTGTTACTTGAGTTATACACTGTAATGATGAACCCCTACTAGTTTGCACAGTAGATTAGATTTTCTCCTGCCCATAGCTGGGTTCCAATTAGCAAGGAACTCCATTGTTCATCATGTCCCCCTGCTCCCAGACCAAAGCTTTTTCAGACCTTCTCTTTAGAAAGATGTTCTATATTTGATATCTACACATTGTGCTTACTGTCATAAAATAAATTACTTTAATAGCAGAAACACACACCTGTGAGGCTGACATTCTAGACAAATGCCTGAGCTAAGCCTGTGCTCCAGAAGAACTATATTTTTTATTGCTGTCTTTATGTGTCCCCTACATTTGGGTTCTAGCAGGTCAGAAAGGAAATAAGTTGAGAGGACACAGAAACAGATGGCTTCAGAGGATGCCTCAAGACTTTGAGTTAAATACCACCCAAAAATAAAGTGTTTTCTATTTGTCTGTTACCTCTGGAATATTAATCATCCTTAGGATATTGTCAGAGGTCATATGACTAAGAAAAGCCCATATAAAGAGAACACCCAAGACATGTGGAAATAATGCTAAAAAAGAAAGTCCCCTTTGGTGTGGACAACTCAGCAGAACAGGGATTTGTGACATGCTTTTTCCCTTGCTTGCAAAGGGAAATGGGAAGTCAGCCCACTTGTGCATACAAGCAGCCATATATATGAACCCACACACAAAGACTGTATTGCTATGACATAAATATAAATATATGAAAGTTTAGAGGCTTGTGCTCACCTGCTGGGACTCCGTTGTCCTCCAGAGCTGAGACAAGACAGCCACGAAGAGAGAATCCACCTACTGGTTTGTTATCTTCCTGCAAAGAAAAAGGAAACAAGACATAGCTGGAAAATATCATAATTTCCCAGAGCAGAGGCATTACTTTTATGAAGTTGAAGATCTGAAAATCACAGTTTTTTTCAGGCATGAAACTTCTATGTCACAAGATAAATCAATTAGAACATGTAGTTAAATGCATTACTGTATTTTTTCAGTCACAGACATTTCTCTGATGTAGTTGGGCATGGTGTAGATCAGTTAAAAGCACAAGGAGAGGCAATCACACTTCAAATATATGTATGATTTTATCAATAACAACATACAGAATTGTATATATTTCTGTAAGTATTTATCTTTCTGCTTTTCACTGAGACTGTATGGGAAGAATCTGTCTCTTTTCCCTAGTTGGCTGGCACTCTTGTTTCTTGTCTTCAGGTTCTGCAGCTTCAGCTTACAGCCTTACAAGGATAAGTTGCAGTGAAAAAAAAAACCAAAACAGCATGAAAGAACAGGAAACAAAAAATTATCTGGCTCCATAAACTTTTTTCACTGGTATGTTGTTTCTATTCTCTTTAAAAGTCACATAAAGCATTTCTATACATGTTCTTCTTGCAATCCTCTTTGGTACCCTAAGTATCTGAGTTGCTCACATAGATTATTATATTCATGAACACCAGTTCTACTTTTCATGAGAAAGTTTAAAACTGAGTAGTAGAAAGTCCTGTAAATACTTTGCCATTGAGAAGACCCTATTCAATGCTGGAATAAGGATGTTAAAAATCCCAGTACCAGTATGATCCTGAAATGGTGGGACTTCAGCCCAGAAAGATCACAACCCAGGAAGAAACTCTGCAGGACCATGGTCCCACACTGTGAGGGTACAGCAAAAGACCAATCCCAAGAAGACTGTTGATGCTCAGCTTAGGAAATGGAATCTCACTGGGAAAAAGACCAGAAGATGCAGGGATACAAACTCCTACAAGGACAACCTCCTAGGGTAAGGTATAAATTGGAAAGCTCTAATTCCTGGAAATGGATAGAGGAACCCAGAGTGACAGAAACATTTACAGCATAATTGTATCTTCATTATAATGTTTATGTCTCTAAAAGGATTTCTGGGGATGGTAACTCTCCACTTACTTACCTTGGTGGGATCATAGTAATGCAAAAAAGCTGGATCAGCTCTTAAAACAAATTTTCTCACCTTC